TTGCCCAAACCCACACAGGTTGGCTCTTCTACTTGGAGGCCCAGTGGGGAATCGAACTCCCAACCTCTGGCTCCACAGCCGGATACCTAAACCACTGAGCAATCCAGCCAGTTCATGCTTTGAATAAAGTGAGCACATAATAATAAAAGGAAGGAAGGCCAGCATGCCCATGGTTACAGAAGCCTACCCATAATTTCAGAATTAAACCGTGGGCAGCCCTGTTGCATGTCCCACCACTCTGAGACGGTAAGTCAATGAGTACATGAGAGCAAGCTCATTTGGAGAACTACCAATGGAAGCCAGGCTGGCTGAATCTCTGTAGAGCTGCCATGGGCATATAAGACTAAATTGGCTAAAATGTTGTTGTAAGGTAATGGTTCCCCTTGACGTTTATTCCAGTCGTGTCTGACTCTAGGGGGCAGTGCTCATCCCTGTCTCCAAGCCATAGAGCCAGCGTTTGTCCGAAGACAGTTTCCGTGGTCACGTGGCCAGAGCAACCAGACACGGAATGCCGTGACCTTCCCACCGAGGTGGTACCTATTTATCTACTTGCATTTTTACATGCTTTCGAACTGCTAGGTTGGTAGGAGCTGGGACAAGGGATGGGAGTTCACCCTGTTGCGTGGATTCGATCTTACGACGGCTGGTCTTCTGACCTTGCAGCACAGAGGCTTCTGCGGTTTAACCCGCAGTGCCACCACGTCCCTAAAATGCTGTTGTGGAGTTCTGAAAATCTCATAACTTTTAAACACTCATTGCCACAACTTAAAAATCCCCATATACATTATTTGTGGTATGCGGAATTGGGCACTCGACACATAACAAAATTCTGGAAACGTTTCTTAACTTACAGCAATTCCCATCGAAATGTTCCACCTTTTGCATAACTCCACAACAGGATTTCAGCCACTGTTTCGTAGGGCCTTGGGTAAGTAAAAGTGGTTGCCAGCAGGCTTTAAGAACTGCTGGTCTGTTTTCAAAGAGTGTCGATTTTGAACACTAGATTTTAAATCGTGTTTTATTCCTTTTTAAAAGAAGGTGTTCATCTTTGGGGCTTGTGCAGCCCTTAAGAGCCCTCCATGAGAAACAACAGATACTCCTACAGCTACTACTAGTAGTAGTAATAGTATCCTGGGAGCCGTAATTTGAAAAAGTTATTTTCCCCCCAAGCTGTGCTTGAGATTCTATCCTAGAAACTCTTCTTGAGCTGAATCTCTTTACCAACCCAGAATGTTCTCCGTGCTCCGCATTATCAAGCCACTTACATCTTTGGTATGTTCTTTGTAAACACAGGGCCCACCTCTTGAAAGGCATTCAGGGCAGCACTTGCCTTCTAAATGAATCAATTCTTCACCCTGTGGAAAAAGAGTCAGCCGCAGTGAGATAGCCAGAATTAGCATTATTGTAAATGATACTGGCAGAAGAAGACAGTGGGAAGCGAGCCATGTTTTACCGGAATGCACTCTTCAGGATCTTATTTCCTTTTTATCATTCTTACAGCCCATTCCAACGTCCTCAGTCCTCTTCCAAAAGATATGTTTGTTTAAGGTACCTTTGTGGCTGCAAAACGATCAAACAGGAGCCTCACTTGAAATGCTGTAAAGCTGACACTAGGTTGGCTTGGGACAGGGGCCAAGGAATTCAGTTAGTCCTGCTAATGACCAGTTCACTTGATCACCATGTAGCACAGTGGTTCTCAACCTAGAGGACTCATATCACCCATGGGACTAGAGAAGAAATCTCGCTGGAGTTCAGGATCTCCACAACAATCATTATAAACTCATTCTCAGTTGACCAGTCCTAATGGCCAAGGATTAACTATGTATAACTTTATTCATGTATTTATTCAAAATATGTTTACCCAGTAGGCATCCTTCAGTCTCAAGAGACTATGGTAACATGCTCTGTATGGAGGTCATGGAATAGCATCCAGTGTGGCTGAGAAGGACAATTTGAGAGTGACGATCCCTTCCACACTGAAGACCAATACAATCTGTCCACTGTCCAGCTCCCTGGTTTTGCTGCTTTTGGGACTGCCTCTTTGCCTCAGCCTGCTGGACAAGGGTCTCTTCAAATTGGGAGAGGCCGTGACGCACCACCTGCCTCCAGGTTGAACGCTCAGATGTCAAGGTTTCCCATCTGTTGAGGTCCATCCCTAAGGCCTTCAGATCCCGCTTGCAGATGTCCTTGTATCGCAGCTGTGGTCTCCCTCTGGGGCGATTTCCCTGCACTAATTCTATATACAGGAGATCTTTTGGAATCCGACTATCAGTCATTCTCACGACATGCCCAAGCCAATGTAGACATCACTGTTCCAGTTTACCCCACCCTTCTCCTTAAAAAGGACCCCAGGCAGCTTACATCATAAAAAGAAGGTATTTAAAGCATACAACACTGAGTATATGAATACTAAAAAGGATAAAAAAAAACCGTTTCCCCCCAAAAATAAGTCCTAACCTGAAAATAAGCACTAGCATAATTTTTCAGGATGCTCATAATATAACCCCTACCCCAAAAATAAGCCCCAGTTAAGTGAAATCCTGCCCTCCACCCTTGTGCAGCAACCAAAAGAAGATGGCATGACAGCATTTGAATAAATGTAGACTGTTGTACATGAAAAAATAAAAAATCCCTAGAAAATCAGCCCTAATGCATTTTTGGAGCAAAAATTAATATAAGACCCTGTCTTATTTTCAGGGAAACACGGTACTAAACTAAACTAAAAAAAAACCAATCATAACACATTCAGAGCAGTAAGGTACAACAATCCATTTCAAAACTATACTCAGGCACCTAGCCACTAAGGGAAAGTTTGGGTGAATAATGCCTGCTTGCAGAAGGACAGCGAAGATGGGGCCAGTCTGGCCTCATTGTGGGAGGGAGTTCCATAACTTGGGAGCAGCCACAGAGAAGGCCCTCTCCCGGGTCCCCACCAAGCACATCTGTGAAGGTTGTGGAATGGAGAAAAGTTTGTCCTGATTATCTTAACACTCAAGCAGGCTCATAAAGGCAGATACGGTCACTTTAATAGGTGGCTATTTTATTTCTCTCAATCCCCCATTTTTTTCTATCCACCAGAAAATATCATAGATATTGTCAGGGCTTATTGAGTGAGCTTTTTGCCCCTTCCGCTTTTCCACAGTTATATTCATACTCAACAGTATTTCTACTCTTTTCAGACACTAATGGGATAATTATTGTTTGTGTGTTTGTCTTTAGTCCCAACAACACTCTTGGAATTTCCATGTCCTTAAAATGTATTTTACATGATACGTAGGGTAACAGCCTACAAAAGCCTGTCTCAGAAAAAGCAGATTTTGATCATGGCAAGACTTGTTTGATAAAATGAGCTGCAAGACAAAAAATATGAAATGCTGAGAACCAAAGGTTATCACATCTTATCAGCACAACTTTACTCTAAAGAAAGCTCAGGTTGCCGGATGTAGCAACTAATGATTTTTTTCCCTCACAACTCACCCCTGCAAAGTAGGCTGGACTGACAATGAAAAAGAAGTACTCATGATTACCCAGATCTCCAGAGATGCAGTTGTGTCGGAGCACAGTCCTAATTAGCCAACCCCCTCTGTGCCAAGGCATGTTGAAAATTAGCAAGGACTATCTTGGGGCTGAAGAGGCAGTGAAGTGGATAAACCATCAAACCAGGACTTATGGAGCCTAGGAACAAATCCCATTTGGCCATGGAAACACAACGGGGTGTGGCAATGTTAAAACCATTCTTGAACCACCTCACCTCAGACACCCTACTACAGTCAGCATAAGTCAAAATCGACTTGATGGCACAAAACACACAACCTTGGGGCCGACACAATTTTGTGTCACCATTGTGACTATTTTCTTGGACTGATGTAGGTTTGGATACAACTGGAAAATTAGTTGCAGACCACAGAGGTTTATACTGCATCAAGCCTGTTAGTTTTTAAGAAAGGCACAAGGCTCTTTGGGTTCCCTCGTGTTGCTTCTGCTGACTTCGGGTGGAGCAAAACATTCTGCCAGCATTTCTCTCTGTTTTATCTCCACCTGACTTCTATTACGCAGGTGATGACAGAACATACTCATTAATGACAATGGAGTTTCCAACGGAGTTCTCTATTAATGTTGTTCCACAATAGATAATCAAATAGGATACTACCCTTTGTGGTTCTGTTAGTTTTGCTTCATGATTACTCACTGAGCTTCATGAGGAAACACTGTCTCGTGAGAAGTCCAATACACAAAAACCTTTCCCTCTGCAGATGTATTAAACTACCTTTCCACTGTCCTCAAACAGCAAGTTGGAAGAATATTATCCACAGCATTGGAGGTCAGCTATGAACACAAGTATTATAAAACAAGAAACAGCCCTTGTCACAGCCCATATGGTAAACATTCCAGACTTCTGCTCTTACCTACACAACCATGCACAAGTACACACTAGGTTTAGAAGAGTAACGCAACCATGTTTGGGACAAGGATCTCTGTGCCAAAAATGTTCTCATGTCTGCCAAGATTCAGGGCTGGTGAGGACCCTGGAAGATATATGTCTCACTTTTCACTGCCGAGCTTAACAATGGGTCAGGGCAGGGGCAACGAGACAGCTGGAAAGAAATTCATGTCAGTTGTGTACTTAATACTTCTCAGGCCATGCTATTTGCAAGATAACATTATGCCCCCCCCCAAAAAAAAAGCAGAGTGGGGGAAAACATTTGTTCCAGTCCTTTTCGGGACACAACCATTTTTAACTGTACATGCTGCTACATACTAGACGAACTGAGAAAAATTAAGTTTGATATTGCATTTATCAGAATTCCTCAGCTGGGGAGCTCTGGCTGGCAATGAAATGAAGAATAATGCCAGCACTAAAGTCCATGGGCACAATTTTCAGCAGCAAATTGCCCCAGTTAAGAAGCTGGCGTTTGCATTCACTGTCACATGCCAAGTTACGCAGTTGGTGCACAACACCAAATGCAAACGCCGACTACTTAACTAGCAGTGACTCACTACTGCAATATACAGAGATCTACTTAAGCCAGTGGATAGTAAGTAACAGGATCCTAAACTCTGTGAATTGTTGTCCAAAAATTAAATGTTTGCTTACTCTTGTTTCAAAGCCTCCCAAATTAGTGGCCGTCACCCCGCCTTCTGGAAGCAAATTCCATAATTTAACTGTGCATTGTGTGAAAAAGTACTTACTCTTATCTAAGCCATTTTATTTTATTTTATTTTATTAATTGATTAATTATGCCACCCATCTAGCCAAGCTACTCTACCCTGCATCTGCTTTCATTCCTCTTTAGTAAGTGGCCTTTGGTTGTAATATTATCAGTTGGGGAAACCCTCTTCTGTATCTACTTTCTCCGCACCAGACATAATTCTATGCACTTCTTCCTGACAATTTATATGTGCAGATACAAAGATATACATTATTAGCATTGTTTAAATAAAAATGCAATTACCAGAGCAGTCAAGGCAGAGACCACATGACTTATATCCCTCTGCTGTCCATTAAGAGGCCATTTCAAGGACTCCGCTCTCCCGCTCTCCCTTTAGAAAGGACTGTAATCTGGAAGTGCTTAAAATATAGGAGAGGTGGGAAAGAGCACTTTTTGGACTACAATACCCAGTTTCAGGCTGCATAACCTATTGTCTGAGAGTTTCTGGGAATTGTAGTTCAAAAAACGAAGAAGTCCTGCGTAAATTGGGACACGAGGCACCCTATTATCAGCACTGTTCTGGCAGAGCTTCAGTTTTTGCTTTGGCTCTGTACTGCAGGGAACAGATTTATTAAGCACAGGCAAGCAGGAAAAAAAACCAGATACTTTGCCAGGCTCAGGAAAGATTTTAACACAGCCAGGGACCCAATCCCTTTAGGAATATCTCCAAATGGCAAGGATATTGCTCTCCTGGTGTGGCAAAAGCTGAAAAGCACATGGGCACAAAAGTTACGATATCTTCCTCACAGTTCAAGGTGTGTCAAGAAACAGCAGCTGTTTGTGTCCCCTTTTGGGGAAAACATTAAACAGTTTTTTAAAATATGGAAATCCCAGTTCAGGATGTATCTGCCCAACTGGTGGATTTATGCCAAGCCTGGAATCTTGTTCCAGTTTAAAGACGCTGATGTGACCAGAAAAGTTAATTCCTCCCCAACCAAGGATGAAACCCACCGAGACTTGGCTTCACATTTGGGCTCTGGTTTACTGCCGGGGCTGTCTTAAGTACCAAGTGAGCAAAAAGAGAAGAGAGAACTTTTAAAGTCAAGAGATTCTACCTGCCGCGTTTATGCTGGCTGATAAAACATTTCAGTGGAAAAATAGCAACGTCACCTCAGGAGCTGCTGGGCGAGAATCCGTTGCTTTTAATAAACAGGATTAGGCAAACTGGAATAAAAATTGGGCTCATGCAAACATGTGTGCGCGCACGCATGCACGCACGCACACGGACACATGTGCATACACAGAGAGTTAACCCACATTCTAAACCAAAAAGCTGAATTCTGCAGCCTGGTGTAAATAATGCAGACTTGTGAAAAGTCTCTTGTTTTTGCATTATTTATTCTGTGTCTTCCCCTTCCCTGATTCTTTTGCTGACTTTGACAGTGGGAAAGGCGACCCTATGAGACTGGGAAACCCATATATTCATATTCAAGAGCAACAGCCATTACAGTGGACCCTCAATTTACGGAATTAATCCATATTGGAATGGTGGCTGCAGGTCGAAAAGTCTGTAGGTCGAGGCTCCATTGACCTGCGATGCATTGAAAACTGATTAATAGCATTGAAAACTGATTAATCCGTAACCGGAAGTTTTTGTTCCATTTTGGGGTGTTTTTTTCCATTCTGTAGGTCGATTCTCTGGCTGCAAGTCGAACCTAAATTTTGTGGCCAGGGAAGTCAGTAACTCGAAAAGTCTGTAAGTGGAGCCATTAAGTCGAGAGTCCCCTGTATTGCTGGAACCATAACCAAATTACAACACGCAGAGGCCCTTCAGATCAAGAGGCCTCTATTCCTCAAGTATACTTCTCTAAAATAAATGTTACTTTAAAAAAAAGGTTCTTCTAGCATGAGACCACAAGCAGAAGCTTACTTAGCTTATAGGTAAGTCCAGCGCTGCTGGGAACCACATTCTCTACACATAGCTGACTCATGCAGCACCCCACATTGGACCGTTACCCTAGAAGCTTAAGATTTCTCACGTATACTAGGAAGTCTACCCAGAAAGGCCAGCCACTAGGTTTCCTCAACATAAAGGGATGGTCCCTCACTGATCTTTGACATGGTCTCCAGTTCTCACACCATAACTTTCTACAGCCCTGACACTAGCAATCTCAGAAGATCTGATATTTGAGGCTGCTATTGGTATTTCCAGATGCCACTGGCAGTATTCACATGCAGTCCATCTCTAAATGTATCCTCACAGCCTTTCTACCATGACTCAGCTGTCCAGAGCTGGTGGCCCTAGAAAAGATAATAAGTCTGAGACCCATGATCCTGGAACAACACTAATACCCATAAGCCTCACTCAGTCCTGGGACATCATGACCTCGTCCACATGCTCCATACACCCAGCAAGAGTTCCTGAAGGAGGACTAGGGATTTCAACAGAGGGATTCTGGAAAACACCTGGATGACTCAAGGTGGGCAACCACTGGCCTAAAGTGTCATGGCCCACAGCCCACATAAAATTGAAGCAACTTTGTTTGCAAACATGTCATCACACACATTGGTCCAAACCCTCTTACTTGGCTTAGCTATGCTGGTGCAGCACAGACAGGACAACTTCTAGAGATGAATTGACCTAAGAAACTGCCTTAAGAATTGCCCTAAGAAACCTTCATAGGTATCGTTACTTGCACATTGAGTTGTTTGACTTTGGTGATGGCTCAACTTAGGGAAATTTGCCTCAAAAAGTGACATTATTTCCATAGCTACACAGGAGGGTTTTGGCCATTGACTTACTGGAGAGAACCAAAATGGATTGGGTGGTAAACTCCTGAAGCGTAATTTCAGTAAACAACTGGGGTCAGTCATTTCTATAGCCTGAAGACCAGCATTTCCGTACATGGGTCTGGACTGTTCATTCCCTGTTCAGAGGCCTCACTCCAAATGCTGTCACCTTCAGCTGCAAGTGAACAAATCAGGAGTGGCACTACCACTGTAGACACATGGCTACTGTTAACTTTATTGCCTTTTCAGCAGAGCATGGAAAACTTACCATGTGGTATTCTCTATACCATGTATGGAGAATTAGTGCAGGGAAATCACCCCAAAGGGAGACCACAGCTGCAATACAAGGACATCTACAAGCAGGATCTGAAGGCCTTAGGAATGGACCTCAACAGATGGGAAACCTTGACCTCTGAGCATTCAGCTTGGAGGCAGGCGGTGCATCATGGCCTCTCCCAATTTGAAGAGATCCTTGTCCAGCAGGCCGAGGCAAAAAAAAAAAGGCAGTCCCGGAAGCAGCAAAATCAGGGAGCTGGACAGGGGACAGATTGTATTTGTCTTCTCAAATTGGCCTCCTCAGCCACACTAGACGCTGTTCCAAGTCCTTCATGCAGAGCACGATACCATAGTCTCTCAAGACTAAAGGATGCCTAATCTGAATCTGGAAAAATTACCAGTTTGGACTACAACTTCCAGAATCCCCAGCCAAGTCATTTTTCCAGTCTCTGCTTTTCATAACTCTTTCAGGCCAGAAAGATTTATTTATTTTGTCTGTTTTTATTTCTACTCTTCCTCTTTTGTTCTTATTACTCTGATGTTCTGATAGTTGTTTCTAGGCTTTGTTTTTACTGCTGGCTGATATATTATTTTTCAGTTGGTGTAGACGTTGACTTTTCCATTTCTAAAATGATTTAATCGGAATATTGTATTAGCTGGTTTGAAAGCTTCAGTAAACAGGCAAGTAAGGTAAAGGTAAAGGTTCCCCTTGACAATATTTGTCCAGTCGTGTTCGACTCTAGGGGGCGGTGCTCATCCCCGTTTCCAAGCCATAGAGCCAGCGTTTTGTCCGAAGACAATCTTCCGTGGTCACATGGCCAGTGCGACTTAGACACGGAACGCTGTTACCTTCCCACCGAAGTGGTCCCTATTTATCTACTTGCATTTGCATGCTTTCGAACCACTAGGTTGGCGGGAGCTGGGACAAGCGACGGGCGCTCACTCCGTTGCGTGGATTCGATCTTACGACTGCTTGGTCTTCTGACCCTGCAGCACAGGCTTCTGCAGTTTAGCCCGCAGCGCCACCACGTCCCAAGATGAAACAGGCAAGTAAATAAGACCAAGGTAACTGGTTAGATGGTTCAAAATGGAGCTGTTTTCTTACCTGGTCACACTTCACTTTGGCACACTCTCCATTCCAACACACTACTTGACCTTCTTGACACGCGCAAAACTCGCAGGGAGCACCACTCCACATTTCATCATGGTATCTGATGGTGCCGTTGTGTACACAGCTCCGTTTGGAAGACACACACTCTTCACAACATTTTCCGGGACGCCGTACTTTGTTCTCCTCCTAGGAATGTGTAGTTCAGACACCTTGTGAAAAGAGGCATCAGCAAACACTGCCAAGAACATGCAAACAGGATTCCAAGCTCAAGAGTTACCTTATGACAGGTCAATGTGGTGCAGGCGTGTCGCAGACACTTAGCCTCTCCTCTTTCACACAGACAGGTAGTGCAGGCATCTGGCTTCCATTGCTCACCATGCTGAACAACACAAAAACAAGTTCCAAGTCTTCGGTCTATGTTACCATGGATGGGATTCCCCATAGCCTGGAAAGGTGCAACTACAACTCCCACAATCCCATTGCCGTTCTGATTAGTGGCCATATTGACTGAGATTAGTGGCCATATTGACTGAGATTCGTCTGGCGCCGACGCTGATGACATTTCGGCCCCAGGTCAAAACCTTCCTGTTCCAGAAGGCTTTTAACTGAAATAATATTAGCTGTGGGTCCGATGGCAATTTTTATATATATTTTAATTGCATTTTAATTGTTTTGAATTTTCATTGTATTTTAAATGTTGTAAGCCGCCCAGAGACCTTTGGGTAGTGTGGGCGGCATATAAAATAAATAAATAAATAAATAAAATATTGGATGGGAAAGCCAGGGAACTATAGTCCTCAAAAGTAGCTTTCTAAAGGTCCCCCGAAAGAATGTCAGCCCTTCAGCAGAAGACTTAGGAACAGACTGTTGGTTCCATTTGTACCAAATTAGACCTTATCTGATGTGTTGTTTTTCTTACAGAATGGGCTCAGGCAGACAAAAAAAAGGGGGATTCCAAGCCACTCTGGGAGCACAGACATCGGTCCTGAGAAATACTTCCCCACCCCATTATTAGCAACAGCTTCCTATCCATTTCTAAGGAAGTAAACCTAGGTATGTCTTGCATGTGGATCTGATCCTGTTAGAATAAATGGGAAATTAGTGGTGTAGAGGGGGGAAGAGGTTGCAGAGGGCAAGCATTCAAAAGGGGAGCTGAATAATTTTAGAATTTTATGAATTTCTACATGACTTTCACAGAAATACAGTTTTCCTATTCAGAAAACATCTCCAGAAATAGCTGTTCTTTTAGAAAAACACACCATGCGGCACCATAAAGACTAGAGTGTTTTATTGGACATAAACGTTCATGTTACTGCAGTTCACTTCTTCAGATGCACAGAGTGTAACCTTAGAAGACAGACATTTAAACTTGCATCGCTTTTCTGCAAAGCCTTTCATCAGTTCAACCACACTTCCTCCGTAAGATAAGCACCTGTATTATCATGGAGCAGGATATTTTCCATCAGATGAGTACAAAGTATTCTGCTCTGGAAATAGGAAACTCAGAAGAAATGGAGTGGCCCTAATACTACACAGGCATTTAGGAACTACAATGCAAGTTCTGACCTAGTAATATTAGTCAGACTACATGGAAAACCTCTAAATGTAACCATCATTCAAGTGTATGCTCCAGCTGCAGATGCTGAAGATGAAACTGAAAGCTTTTATACAAGCATCCAGGAGGAAACAGATCACATACCAAAACAAGACATGCTATTAGTCATAGGTGGCTGGAATGCAAAAGTAGGAACAAAGAAGAATCAAATGATGTTGGGAAATTTAGTTGAGGGGACAGAAATGAAGGAGGAGAACGACTCATCGAGTTCTGCAAAGCCAAGAATCTATTTATTGCAAATGCACGTTACAAGCAACCAAAAACCTGTACAATTACTAGATGATCAACACAGAAATCAAACAGACTAGATAATTGGAAGCAGGAGATGAAGAAGCTGTATTCTCAATACCAAAACAAAACCAGTATTGTGGTACTATTGTAAACTGTTAATATTAGAGTGAAGCTGGAAAAGAACATTAAAAGAACTGTAGTGCCTACACATAATTTTAACAACATTCTTGATTAATTTAAACTCCACATAAAGAATAGATTTGCATTACTAAACTCAATTGACAGTAAATGAGAAGAATAGTGGATGGAAATCAAAACTATCACGAAGGAAGAATGCAAAAAAAAATTTTCCTGTAGTAAAAAGAAAAGAAAAACCTTGATGGATGATGGAAGAAAAACTAAAACACTAAACGTGGAAGGTGACAGAAATAGGATCAGATTTCTGAATGTAGGTTTTCAGTGACTCACATAGAGACAAAGAGAACTATTACAATAACCAATCCAAAGAAACAGACAAGAAAAACAGAAGTGGAAAAACAAGAGATATCTTCCAGAAGATCCAAGAAATCAAAGGAGAAATCAAGCCTAGATTGGGAATGCTGAATGACCAACAGGGAAACAGACTATCTGACCAAGATAAAATGAAGGTGGGAACAGTATACTGAAGACTTATACAGAAGAGATAGAAGGATGACAAATTCCTATGAAGATAAATCCTATGATGAAGAATATGTAGTTCTAGAAAGTAAAGTGAAAGCTGTTCTTAAAGCACTGGGAAGATATAAATCACTTGGGGTAGATGGGATACTGACAGAACTATTTCAAGCCACAGAGACTAAATATGTCGGAATCCTAGAAAGAATATGCCAACAAATATGGAAACCAAACCAACGGCCTACAGAATGGAAATGTTCAATATGCATTCTAATCCTCAAGAAAGGAGGCACCAAGGAGTGAGTAACTATAGGACCAATGCTCTAATTTCCCATGCAAGCAAAGCAATACTCACTGTGTTGTGAAAAATGTTTTTACCTTACATGAAGGTAAAAATGCCTGATATTCAAGCTAGATTCCAAAAAGAGGCCTTCAAGTTCATATTGCACATATCCATTTTCTACTGGAGTGCACAAAAGAATTTCAGAAGAACAAACTCTATAATTTATAGAGTATAGCAAAGCCTTTGATTGTGTGGATCATGAGAAACTATGGATTCTTCTGAAATACATGGGTGTGCCACAGTACTAAATTGTCCTGGTTGTATTGTGGACAAGAAGCTACAGTCAGGGCCAAAGATGGAAAGACAGAATAGTTTCCTATAGGCAAAGGTGTCAGACAACGGTGCATTTAATCCCTTTATCTGTTCACAATCTGTATGTAGAATGCATCATATGGAAAGCTGAAAGAAATTCATAGGCAGGAGAAGAAAAAATTGGTGGGAGAAATATCAATGATAAAAGATAACAGATTACACCATATTACCAGCAGAAAGCAGTTATGATTTGAAATGACTTTTGATGAAAGTGAAAGAAGAAAAAGCCAAAGCAGGAGTGCCCTTGAACACTAAGAAAACAAAATTTATGATGGCAGAAGAACTACACAACTTTAATGTTGACAATGAAGAAGTCAAAATTCTTAAAGAAATTCTTGTACATCTTGGTTCAGACCATTAATCCAAATGGAGAGGGCAGCCAAGAAATCAGAAGACTGAGACTCAGAAGGGCCACAATGAAGAAACTTTTTTTTAAAAAAATGTCAAGTGTAAGAGTGTGTCACTGGAGACCAAGATGAGCATCACCCACTTTCTTGTATTTCTGATTACTGCGTATGTGTCTGAAAGCTGGACAGTAAAGAAAATTGACAAGAAAAAAAATTGATTTGCTTGAAATATGTTGCTGGAGGACAGCTTTGCAGATACCTTAGACTGTGAGAAAGCTGAACAAATGGATCCTAGCACAAATCAAGCCTGAATAATCTCTGGAAGCAAAAATGAAAGAGATGGAGGCAAAAAATAAGGAGACTAACGTTGTCCTCTTTTGGGAACATCATCATTTACATTACAAGAGCTGAGGGTGGCTTTTGAAGCCAGGCCATTTTGGAGACTTGCTCAATCATGGGGTCACCATAGGTTGGAGGTGACCTGATGTCACGTAACAACAATTATCATGCTATTGAAAAAGACTCACTTACGTAATACCACTGGGCATTTTTTCCCAAAGGGCATTCTACGTTTAAAAAAAATTAAAATCCTTTTTCCTAGTATCGTTTTGACACGGCTTTTGAAGCCAGGCCATTTTGGAGACTTGCTCAATCATGGGGTCACCATAGGTTGGAGGTGACCTGATGTCACGTAACAACAATTATCATGCTATTGAAAAAGACTCACTTACGTAATACCACTGGGCATTTTTTCCCAAAGGGCATTCTACGTTTAAAAAAAATTAAAATCCTTTTTCCTAGTATCGTTTTGACACTGTTTCATCTTTTACTTTTTTTGGGATTGGTGGCAGACTCCCTTATTTTTTCCCTTGACCGTATCAATATGAAGGCAGTTCAAAGACTAACCACAGCTA